TGTGAAGGATCCCTCTGGACTGATTTGAAACCTGAAACAAAGAAGCACTGTACTTATTGAACAAAAGCGATCAGATTTTTAATACATACTTATATGCTTGTAAAAATATACATACCTAAATAAAGTGCTGGTCTTTCAAGGAATAACTCGTCAGAGCAACGGTTAGCACGTTCAGAACTAGTATCAGAAACGATCAAGTTGTGATTGGTTTATCAAATGACTTGATCCGGGTATTCATTTCCCGATTGCGGATCAAGTCTTAAGAAACAGCCATCAAAAATTGTCTTCTGGGACAGCAAACATTTACCAACATGTTCCAAACTGTTAGGTTAATGTGAAAATATAGATATATAATTGTACATAAATTTTGTTAGACAGAAGAAATATAGTGCCATTCAAACTCTGATGAGGGCACCGTACTGCCGCAAGGATAGTTGGACTATACATGATTACCAGTTGACTCTCCCTCGAAATTCGCATACCATTGTGTACTGCATGGCATATATATACGTAAGTGGATGACGAGAAGAAAATAAATAGAATCTGATAAAGAGGAAATATAAGTATAAAGGAATGTAAAAGCATGAAAAAAGCAGAAGTAACAATACCAAGGAAGATAAAATTTACTCATATGATTACATTTCAGGCAGGTCCTTCTAATTCCCATGCCACTACTAGCTGCAGGAGTATAAAATGCACCAGGCAGTCCAGAACACACTAAACAATCTTAGAGGTCAGGATTGTAATGAAATCAAAAGTACAAGTAAGAGGGCCAGCAACATAAAATACCAGAGGACCACAAAATCTCCTCTAAACACCCGATCCCATCGATACCTTAGAAATAAAAAAATAAGAAACGCACTTTGAAAATAAACGTATAATATTGCACCATATGTTTTTATGTGTTTTAGTATGAACAGTTATTAAAATTTTTCAGTTGTCTTATTTTTAAATGCAATAATTCTTTGTAAATGCTGCTTACTGTTTCATAATATTTTTATAGAAACTGTGATATGCTTGTACAAGAGTGATGAGGTACCATACACTAAAATTCCATATTTTTATAGATGTATTTATGTACCTATGTTCCAAATTATAATCACATTTTTCACTTTTTTTCTGCCCTCTGAGAACGCAGCATACTTGTAGAGCACAGAGTTAATAAAATACAGTACGCGCTATGCCAACGAAATGAATTTTTTTTCTAAACTATTGGGTGACTAAAAAATACCTATTCCTTTATGAATCTTGTTCAAGAATAATTCAATTTCTTCGAAAATATTATAATGTAGGATGCAGTACTGGCATAGAATGAATGTATTTAACAATTAGGAAAATTAAACATTTCTATATTAGTCCATCCACAGTCCGATCAGAGAATTGAATCTGATTGCAGCGAAATAGTAGATCACACAATTAAATAAGTATAATAATCTTTATTACATTAACATACATGATTTGTCTAAAATATTGGATCTGAAAAATCTTTTTTTCTTTATATAGGTCCACCTGTATTGTAAATCACAGTGCTGCCACAACAAAACTTGATGAAGAAAAAATACTTCTGAGTTGTCTGCTTCTTCAAACCAAATGAGTTGACTGCTTTTTTAACCCAAATTTGAGCTTGCTCTTTTTCCACTGATTTTCTAAGTTGGCTCTTTATTTTATCGAACTGTCGATGTACACATACTAAAGAAGTATATATGTGTAAAAATGTTATGTAACATTAATATCAAGTAAAACAGTTTTAAAATCTTCTTAAAAAATGCTGAAGCAATTTTTAAAATAAATTATAGCAACTTATTATTACTTTTAAAACACTTGCTTATTTATTGATAAAGTTAAACTATTTAAACTTTGCGTCTTTACTTTCCATTTAGGCTTAATCATTGACTTGCATGGGTATGTCCAATTGTATTCTACTTGTTATTAGTTAATATCCCACACAAAAAAGGCTTTTCCAGAACCTCCACATCTATTTTTAAAATAAATTTTATCAACTTATCTTAACTTCTGAAAATTATCAATAGAATTGTATCAATTAAACTTTAACTGTTTGCTTGGTGGTTTGAGAATAATAATTTATTTGCGTGCGTATTTGCAATTGTATTGTACTCACATAAACATACGTACTTATTCCATGCCAAGCAAGTTAAACCTTTCCTTTAAATTTATACGTGGTTTTCTATTATGGAGCATGAAGTACATTTAAAGAAATAAGAGCCATCAAAAGGAATTTTAGATTTGGAGAAAACAGGAACGAAATTGTTTCATCCTCCATCACTAGCTTGAGCTTATCAGAGTGGCGTGCTAGTGATGTAGTCATAGATAGAACTTTTTTTTAAATTAATACTTGTTGCCTCTTATGTAGAGCAGAGAGTGGATTCAAAGAAGAAATTAAAAAGTTAGGTCATGTTTGTCTGTGGCTAAATTGCTAGCATGCCACAGTAATGACTTCCAGCCAGCGATCGAGGACCAAACGATTTCTTTTTTTTTTTTTTTCCTATTCCTAAGTTTTTTTTTAGTGCACTCCGTGCTTCATAAAAAAGGCACTAACTAAGAATTTTAACTTAAGGTCAAAGTTTCTTGGAAGTATTTATTGTTCCATCGAGAATCGCTGGAACATTTTTTAGTGACGCAGCAACTGGGGTCGTTGTGAGGCGCTCTCTGGTGAGCGATTTGTGAGGGTGTAAGTTTGATGTGCGTGCATAAGGGAAGGGCACTTGGGTGAAAGGGGCCAAGGAGAGATGAACGTGAGACAGCTAGGCTTAACACCAAGACTACGAGAAGGACCATCAAGGTAACTGGTCTGGGGCAATGTTCATGGAGTCGAGTCCACCGATATGTTACATGACAAGAACGGCCAAGTAGAATTACCAGATCAGCGATCAATGTCCTGAAGAGTCTCGGTATCGCAGTCATCTATGCATCTGCTTACTACGTTTCCAGGAAATTTATTGTTGCGATAGACAATAAACCATGAGGGCTCATTAGAAACGAAACGATACAGCCATGGTGGCATAGGGGTAAAGTTGCAGTTTCGTCAATCTCTGAAGTAAAGCAGCATTTGACGAGCTTAGCACTTAGACGGATGACCGTCTGAGTCTCGCCGTTTCGCCTGTGCTGTTGATGTTTTGAGATACATTGTTAACGTGATCATAAGTGTGACTAAGTATGTCCTAGTTTTTATGTGTATAAAAATCTGGTCATAATCCAGATCAGAACTGTTGGATGGAAGACATTAACCTTAAATAAAAAAGCCATGTCGTAGGTGTAGAAAGATGATGTATAAATAAAAATAAAAACTTGCATGGGATAGAGTAAGTATGTACGCATGTGTGGCTGTAATGTAATTTCACGTACACTAACGCGCAAATAAATAATTATGCTTAAATCATCGACTAAAGAGTTGGAGTTTGACTTGGTCAACTTTATTAACGTTTTCACATATAATTATTANTGATACTTTACAGCTTTGTCTACATTTCTTTCTTCCTGTTAATACTATAAAATATTGTGAGAATATAACTTGGACTGCGTTTAATTTTAAATTTTGCATTTCCAATAAAATGGGCACTGCAGATATAATCTTTTGGACTTGGATTCCATGCTGACCCATGAGGCCTACAATGACACCATCATACTCAAAATACAGGGCATATTATAAATACGTTCTTATAATGTCGCGTTAAATTTACTTATCTTTGTCTCCAAACTGCTGCGATCCCATTAAACCTTTGTTTTTTTCTGTGCCCAATAGTTGGAAACCTACAAAAGTAAATTTGTGGGCTGCTTTTTTGGTACTTCGGTAGGATACAACACAGAACTGAGTGAAAGGTATATTTGTATTTTTGTTGACTCAAGAAATATGAGCTCCTCCGTTATTATTGGAATGCAAAGTGTTTTGGGCATGAAAATATTCCAAATAAGTTGCAATATATGAGGTGTAATACCACTTATACTTGGTATAGTTAGGCTATTTACAGTTTTTATTATTTATATGTACAAACAAATATTCATACAATAACAAGTATCTACAACTTCATACTTTATCATATAATCTAATAATTATTTCTTATATCTACCGGTAGGCTGATGATGTTTACAGGGGTCAAAGTACAACAGATTCCTGATGAAGAATTTATGCAGTATCTTAAGCTTTGTAACTCTTACTATATCTTATTTAATTGATTACAAGACTTTAGTATCAAAAAAAGCGAGATACATTTAAAATAAGTCATTGAATTTATATGCAGTTAACTGCTTTTATCTTTAAATTTACATTGTAGCTCCATTTTTATAAATAAACAGATGTATTAGTGTTTAAACCATTACACAGTATGCTTATTATTCAATGTATTATTGATTTTATGAGCTTGTTTCTACAATGGAAAAAAATATATTTAAAAATAAGAAAACATCCTTTGACTAGACCTTCATGTTTATACCCTTAATTTCCACTGTTCAAGGTGAGCAAGCAGAGTGCTCAGCAAAAAAATTTTCACTTTTACCTAGATGTTATTGTACAGGGGTTTTTAAAGCATCACGTCCTGTTAATAAGTATTTTACTTATTTATATATAAAATTTACGTATGATTGTATATTTGTATAAGATTGAATGGTGAGAGCTTTTAACGCTCTTATGTGTTATTAAAAATTTTTTTTCAAAAAAGAAAAAGAATAACAGAAAAACTATTGTCAACGATTATCATTAATCAAGTGTATTATATTTCTGGAGAAGCTCTTCTTAAGGAAAATGCCCTCATGGGACAAGGAAAATATAAAAGGATATTTATTAAGTTACTAACTTTATACCAAGGGACAGGGTAGTAAGCACTATTTCTCTCAGTCTTAATATTCATCTAGTATATCATAAAAACAAGAGTTTCCTTATATTTTAGAAAGATTTATTAAAAACAACTAAATACAATTACGCATTAATCTTAACTGTATCTTTAAGCTAGATTGTACTTATAACTTACATGACTTTTGTATACTAGGTCGTTGAGATAGCTCCTGCCCCAAGATTAAATGTTGAAGTACAAAAAAAAATGACTGAGCATGCTGTTAAATTGGCCAAATATGTAGGATACTCAAACGCAGGAACGGTTGAATTTCTTGTTGATGATTCTGATAACTTTTATTTTATTGAAGTAAATGCTAGATTGCAAGTGGAGCATACAGTAACAGAAGAAATCACTGGGTAAGCATCAATCTCATTATCTTTAAGGTTCATTATATGTAACGCAATTAAAAGTTAATAATTCACATAATTGTAGAGTGGATCTAGTTCAAACGCAAATTCATATTGCTGAGGGCATGACTTTACCTGAACTTGGCATGACCCAAGATAAAATTACCTCCCAAGGATTTGCAATTCAATGTCGTGTTACGACTGAAGATCCTGCAAAAAATTTTCAACCAGACTCTGGTAGGATAGAAGTCTTTCGTTCCGGAGAAGGCATGGGCATTCGCTTAGATGGGGCATCTGCCTATGCTGGTGCCATAATATCGCCTTATTACGATTCTCTTCTTGTAAAGGTAGGATAATTTTTTTAGTATTCATAACAATTCTCTGGCTTCTGTGGTACGATGTACGCAATGGTATTTTTAAATGCATACAAACAGAAATCGTTACTCATTGACCATTCTTGACAATTTCTATTAAAAAAAAAATTTCTTAAAAATTTAGTTTTTAAGCGTACTGTTCAACAAATTTTTCAATAAACTAAGTAAGAATAGTAGTTGTAAGAACCTTTAGCAGCATAGAACTACAGCTTCTCTAACGATTTAATGGCTTGAGTAATTTTAAAAAATATAGGAAACCACGGATCTAAAAATCTCACTTGAAAAAGACTTTTCTAATTCTTTCTTAGTAGTAACACTTAACTTAAATGCTTAAATCACTTGAATGCAATATAAACTCACAATTCCATACTCACATACATATTAATCGACGGCAAAAAAAAAGTGGAGTTCAGCAGCCTTCATGAAAATGAGCATAGATACCTTAAGAGTTCAGTTGATAAAATGCACAACTGTGGTTTAAAAGAAATTCGTCCAATGCAAAACAAATAGCGCCAGTATGAAAGAGTGAGCACGAAAATTTTGCCTCCCTGTGTACTGCGTGTAAAATATTCGTAGGTATAGGTACGTACATGTTTTTTTATTGTATTGCTTTAATCAATCGAAATCTTCGATTACTAACATAAACATGGACATAATTATTGAAACAGAATTTGAGAATATACCTTATAAAATTAAATTTAATTCTGAAACGCTCAAAAAAGACAAGTCACTTTGTAACAGCAATCATGCTTGTTGTGTACAAGAATACAGGAGCAATAGTGTTAGTTTCCAAATTGAGGCTTTAGTAATTCATCAAACATCCGTCACCTCAAATTTTTTTTTATAATGTATATTTAAGAGTGAGTTTACCATTTTGTGTGAACAAAATTGACAAGTATATAAAACTTCTTGCCAATGTGTGTCTAATAAAAGCAAAAATTGTAACCTGTCAATATTGTTGTGGATTATTATAATTATAACAAAAAATTATCAAAGACAAATTTCGAGCAGTCATGGGGCAAACCAACATCAAATTAAATTGGAAAAAAAAATATTTAAAAGGGCTATTTTTTTCTAAGTATTTAAACCAATGAAAAAACGAATGTCAAGACATACGAATTTACAGTTAAAGATTAACATGATTTACCTTGTTCTCTACGTTCAGCCTTAGTTTGAGAACAAAGAGCTCATTCTTTTTATTTTATGAGGTCAGTAAGAAGCAATTTAATTGATTCTGTATGTCATAAGTATAACATAAGAATTTATGCAGTATCTATGCAAAATTTATTTGTTTATACAGAAGTCAATGATGCGTATCAAAGTTCTGCAGTCAACATTAAGTTTTTTAACAAGTTAGTGGAAAAGTTTTATCAATCTCACATTGTCTTAAATAAAGCACAGACACTACAGCTGTGCCAGGAAATAAATAATCAGTCAGAAAATCCCAGATGGCACAAAGAAAGAATCCTAAGAATATTAGCATGTAACAAGGCTTATGCTATCAAAATTAGGAGAAAAATAAGTGCTGAACAATCAGCAGTGACTATGATAAACGTAAGCAATATAATCACAGCAGCAGTAAGGTATGGTTTGGATCATTAGGGTACTGCTATCAACGAATATCAACAGTCTTTTAATGTATGCGTGCTGCAAGTTGATGTTGCTGGTAAAGTTCAACCATGATCTGTACTAGTTTTGATTGCATTGTTGTTGAAGATAAGTACGTTGAGAGACTAGATGAAATTAAGTATCCAAGCTCTTGCGAAAAGCAATAAATTGTTGATGTTGAAAACCAAACATGTAACGTCAAACGCTTACACTTTAATGGTGACACTGTAGAGTTGAAAGAAAGTTCCAAATATTACACACGGTGTCAGATTCAAATGTATATATCTGGATTAACAGTTTGTAATATGTATGTGTGTTCTCCTGTTGGTAGCTGGAAGGCTGAAGTACACAATAAAAAAAAAACTTGTTACTACGTGTGTGAATTTTTATTTTTATTTTGAGTACAGTTTTAATTTTTTGTATAATAAAATAAGCCATGACCGAAAAAATATCTCAGAAAATAATTTCTTCATGCCAAAAAAAAAAAAACGTTGAATTTAATGGTATTGATATGAACAATATTACCAAAAATAAGTTTTTACCTTAAAACTAAAAAGGTTGAATAAACTGTAAGAAGGAGTGTGTTTTAGTATTTAATAAAACAAAAACTATTTATTTATAAGATCTACAATTTTTTTAAATATTTGCATGAGACATCCATATTTTTCTTAATTTTTTAAACGTCCGTATTACTCTGCACTGTTTTTGCAATGATTGGTGGCTGTAAATTTAGTAAAATATAACATATGTGCACTATATTATTAATACAGTGAAAAAATGACTTGGTATCTTTTAAAATATTTTACAATTAAATTATCTGCATAACTCTTTCTACGAGCATTCTGACACTTGCAATTCCATACGTCTCTTGTATTTCTTACTTGCTGAACTCAGGTGCTCTTAAAAGAAGAGGCATGATAACAACAATGTTATTTTTGTTCACATCTTATTTTGTTTTAATCTCGGGAAAGCCTTTATCAACTAATACATCACCTTTACTTTCTAAAAAGTCTAGTAGTACACTATTAACTGTGATTTGTAAATCACCTTTCTACCTTCCGCACATGGAGACTTGAAAGTGAATAATCCACTAGGAGTACATCCAATCAGAATTTTAGCTGTTATTATGTGGTTATAATAAGAATAAGTGAAGACTTGCTTATTAATTCCAGGTGGCACATCAACAGGGAACTTGGTACAATTAATTATCACCCAACTTCTCGCATAGTTTGGCTTAAAATACTCATGCCCGGTGTTGTATATGACATCTTTATTCAACCACTTTATTTATTGTCGCAGAGTTCCTGCCAGATACACTAAGGTCTCAGTGAAAATTCGAGATAGTGTTGTACAATGCACCTGAAATATTACAGCCAATGCTAAACAACTGAGACCATTTTCTAATTTTCATATTAAATGTTAGATGATTATTGTCTCTGGATACGGGACACTTATCAGACTCATTTAAGAAATTGGCAAGTAATTTGGATGAAGCAAATGTTCAACCAGTTAGTGCTGTCAGTTGATCATCATTTGAAATAGAATTCTTTCCAAAGAAGCCACTAGTCTTACCTGAAAAATTATATGTATCACATGCAATACCCTTGTTTTCAAAAGTTATGTCTGCACATTGTTTGTCTTTAGTTTTCTTTCTGTTGGGTACAGTAATTCAAAACACATCACCAAAAATTTCAGGTTGGATTTGGACATCATGAATAGTATTATAAACATATGAGTTGCACATAAAAGTATTCGATGGTCTATTGTCAACCAGTAAGGAATTTTCTTAAGCTTCTTGAGCAAATACTTTTTCAGGGGATGATATGATTTGTCATGTACACTTGCATTTACTTTTATTTATTATATCAGTTGTAATACAGTTTTCTGCCGTTAAACTATTATGATTCCCACAATTACGACGTTGCATGAATCTTTCATGATACTTTACAGCTTTGTCTACATTTCTTTCTTCCTGTTAATACTATAAAATATTGTGAGAATATAACTTGGACTGCGTTTAATTTTAAATTTTGCATTTCCAATAAAATGGGCACTGCAGATATAATCTTTTGGACTTGGATTCCATGCTGACCCATGAGGCCTACAATGACACCATCATACTCAAAATACAGGGCATATTATAAATACGTTCTTATAATGTCGCGTTAAATTTACTTATCTTTGTCTCCAAACTGCTGCGATCCCATTAAACCTTTGTTTTTTTCTGTGCCCAATAGTTGGAAACCTACAAAAGTAAATTTGTGGGCTGCTTTTTTGGTACTTCGGTAGGATACAACACAGAACTGAGTGAAAGGTATATTTGTATTTTTGTTGACTCAAGAAATATGAGCTCCTCCGTTATTATTGGAATGCAAAGTGTTTTGGGCATGAAAATATTCCAAATAAGTTGCAATATATGAGGTGTAATACCACTTATACTTGGTATAGTTAGGCTATTTACAGTTTTTATTATTTATATGTACAAACAAATATTCATACAATAACAAGTATCTACAACTTCATACTTTATCATATAATCTAATAATTATTTCTTATATCTACCGGTAGGCTGATGATGTTTACAGGGGTCAAAGTACAACAGATTCCTGATGTCGCGCACCACTATCGATTCGCTTATCTTCTTCTTTCAGCTACACTAGGCCAATAAAGCACTGCTTACGCGCTCAGACGTAAAAAAACAGTGCTCTTATTCTTAGCCAAAAAAGAGCACAGCTAGAGCTTTAAATAATAAGAGCAGAGCTTACACGCTCAGATAATAATAAGCATTCAAATGAACAGAAGCACGACTCAAGCGTTCAAGAAAAAAAACACGAATTATCAGATCTGAACAAAAAGAAACGCAGCTCGTACGTTTGAATACAATCAATCATGACTCGTCACATTCAGATGAAAAGAAGTACAGCTGTGATTGACACAAAATTTAAGTGCAATTCAAACGCGAATGAAATGCAATTTATAAAAGAGCCTAATATCCTCAATCAGCAACAAACACTATGTTCTGCTATAAAATGAAGAAAAACGTGACGTGTTTACAATATTTCTTATTACTGTATTATAAGACATAACAATCATTTTTTTCTTCTAGAGAGAACAGTGAATCTACTTTTGAACTTACTAATCACCTTTTTTAATGCAGATTAGGTACAACTTAGATAAAGTTTAAATACGATTTTTCGTTGAAAAAGAAAATGTGCCTTAGCTGGCTAAGTATTAGTAATTAGAACCTCGACTATCTTTAGTATTATTTAGTCATAAATTTTACCCTGAGGTAAGCAAACTTCGACACTAATAAATACAACTGGTTTTTGATACTATTTATAAAATATGCTTTTAGATGAGCAAGC